ACCCGGGACAGAGCACGGCGCACCATCACCCTGACTCAGTCACACATGGTGCAGCAGGTTCTCCAGCGCTTCCGCTTCACGTACTCCTCGCCTCAGTCCACTCCTCTGCCTACCGGTCACTCGCTCTCAGCTCTGCCTTCGGATGAGTCCGTAGAGCCGAGTGGCCCGTATCCAGAGCTTGTGGGCTGCCTCATGTACCTGATGACCTGCACTCGACCTGACCTTGCATACCCTCTTAGCATCCTAGCACGCTATGTCGCTCCTGGCCGTCACCGGAAGGAGCACATGGATGCTGCTAAGAGGGTGTTGCGCTACTTGTGCAGTACGTCGGGCATGGGGCTTGTGCTTGGAGGGCGAGACCGGGTTGTTCTCACAGGGCACTCAGACGCTTCTTGGGCAGACGACCAGGCTACTCAGCGGTCGTCCCAGGGTTACACCTTCAGCCTTGGCTCTGGCTCAGTTTCTTGGCGTTCTACTCGCTCTTCTTCTGTTCTCAGCTCCAGTTGTGAGGCTGAGATCTACGCCACAGCCATGGCTGCTCAGGAGCTACGCTGGCTGACCTACCTGCTGACCGACCTCGGAGAGCGGCCTCGTTCTCCTCCAGTGCTGTACGTCGACAACAAGGCTGCCATTGCCTTGTGTGAGGAGCACAGACTGGAGCACAGAACGAAGCACATCGCTCTACGGTACTTCCTTGCTCGAGAGCTGCAGCAGCGTGGTCAGCTTTGTCTGCGTTACGTGGCCACGGAGGCCAACACTGCTGATGTGTTCACCAAGGCGCTTCAGCCTTGTGACCATCAGCGCTTTTGCACGCTGCTAGGCCTTGTACCTACTGGGCCTCACTTGCTTACCTCTTGACCTTGCTTGTACTGTGATCACTATATATATATGCCTACTTGTTTACTTTTGCTAGGTTGTGATCACTGTATCTCTTACTTTGTTATAAACCTGCATGTGAACTGGTCTTGTGACCGCTTGCTTGTGCTCGGAATTTGTGTGGAATCCTTGAGATCCACCCTGAGCTTGCTTTGCTTTGCTTTGACTGGTCTTGTGACCCTGTGGTTGTCTCCCACTGCGCCTATGGGGGTGTGTCAAACATTGCATGTTTATATTATGTAGGCTGTAGTGGGTTACACCTTAGGGGGTACTCAAAGTTAGGGTTTCCTACTTGTACCAAACTCTGTGCTAGTTCATCCCATTCCTGCTCAGTTATTCTGACAAAGACATCCTCGGCGGTGCCGCCTTGCGCGCCACCCTCCTCATCATTCTCGCCGTCAGAACTGCTCGTTTCGTCGTCCTCAGCCACGGCGTCGTCAGCTCCGAGTGCAGATTCGTCCCACGTGGTGCAATCTTCGGGCCGGCCCCAACATGGTCCAGTGTAAGGTGCGCCGTGAACCCACTCGTCTGGGCCCTTGTTGCTTTCCGGTTCCTCCAGCCACTTGTCGAACTCAGACGGGGTCAGGAGCGTGAGCACGGGCGGACCCCCCGTCTGCTGAGGAAACTCCCGAATCGGCGGCGACGGAGGTAGAGGAGGCTGCGGAGGTGTTGGCGGCACAGGAGGAGCAGGAGGAGCAGGCGGCTCAGGAGGCGATGGAGGCTGAGGTGGCTCTGGTGGCTCTGGTGGTTCAGCAGGGACACGGGTGTACCATCCGTCGGCGTCGACTACGAAGGCGGGTCTACGACTGGGCTTCTTCTTGAATAGAAAATGGGTGCCTGTGAATTCCGCCATGGCTGGCGCAGCCAGGCGGGAGAAAACAAGAAACAGAATGCCTTCACTGAATGAAACGAGTGCCCAAATGAGCAATTGGAGGGGACCCCTTCAGGATTGCGGTGCGGGGTCCTCGTCGGGGAAAGACGACTGCCACCCTGCCTAAACCCGGAGAGGAGGGTATCATGGCTCATTCTTGCCGCGCTGGCAGCATATTCCACCCCCTTCTAGAGGGTTCGGGTGGTTTGTTGCAGCCTGGCAGCGCATGAGTCTCCTATTGGGCCGCACGGCAAGATGCACGTCACCGCTGGCAGGTTCGTTGCTCTGGGACAAGATTCGAGCGGTGGGAAATCGAAGCGCCTCTGTTTTCGCGGGATTTCCATGCACGAACGCATGCGCATTGTACACAGTTGTGTTCGCCTTATTGTGGGCTTCAGTTTGGTACTCTTAAAAACTAAATTCAATTTTGCCATTACATTAGCGCCGGCGCTTATGGCCGTTACTCAATTACAAGCGCCACCCCTAAAAAATCAATACTTATTATAAGCGCATATGCGCTTTTATCCGGGGCCATACGGTACTTACGAGCTTCCGGATGGCCAGGAGGTTACTCTATCTTCTGAGCGGTTTAGGTGCCCGGAAGCTCTGTTCAAGCCCTTGCTGGCTGGCGTGGAAGGCTCGGGTATTCACGACATGTGCCACGACTCCATCCTGGCGTGCGATGGCGATGTCAGGAGCTACCTATATGAAAACATCTTGGTTGCGGGTGGTAACGCTGGAATCCCTGGAATTGTTGAGCGCTTGAAGAAGGAAATCAAACAGCAGATAAGCATAGAGGTTAATGTTTACAAGCCCACCTTTCACCAGGGGGATTACAATGCCTGGATTGGTGGAGACATGCTTGCGTCCCACAGCTCCTTCAAAGAGGTATGTGTGTGTGTGTGTGTATGTGTGTGTGTGTGTGTGTGTGTGTGTGTGTGTGTGTGTGTGTGTGTGTGTGTGTGTGTGTGTGTGTGTGTGTGTGTGTGTGTGTGTGTGTGTGTGTGTGTGTGTGTGTGTGTGTGTGTGTGTGTGTGTGTGTGTGTGTGTGTGTGTGTGTGTGTGTGTGTGTGTGTGTGTGTGTGTGTGTGTGTGTGTGTGTGTGTGTGTGTGTGTGTGTGTGTGTGTGTGTGTGTGTGTGTGTGTGTGTGTGTGTGTGTGTGTGTGTGTGTGTGTGTGTGTGTGTGTGTGTGTGTGTGTGTGTGTGTGTGTGTGTGTGTGTGTGTGTGTGTGTGTGTGTGTGTGTGTGTGTGTATGGGGGGGGGCGTGCGTGCGTGCGTGCATGTATGTGTGTGTATGTGTGTGTGTGTGTATGTGTGTGTGTGTGTGTTGTGTGTGTGTGTGTTTTTTTTTTTTTCCTTCCTTTCTCTTGTGCTGTTGGCAGATGATGTGACACTTGTTTTTCCTCTTTCACACAGATGTGGATTTCCAAGAGCGAGTTCCAGGAGTCAGGCGCAAGCGTTGTGCAGAGAAGGTCCCCAATCCCTGCTGTCTGATGCACACCACAGTTGCCCTGCTTGCATTGCCACACATTTTGGCGCTGTTCTGTAGGCGTCAATTTTCCAAAAACTGGGTCCGCGGAATTCTCGTTGATAAGAGGTCTTCTCTCCCTATCAAGGTTTGGTGATAAGGGAGATCCTGCCAAACCTGTTCGCGCCAAATTTAACGCTTCCGCCTGCAGAACACCCCTTTTGGGGCGCACAAATTTAACCGTCTGCAGGTTCGAAGTTGTTGCTTCGCCGGGCAAATGGTCGCACAACTAGTGCGGTGCTGATTCTACCTCGGGAGCTAGCACCAGCCTCCGCACAAGTTATGCGAGGCAGCAATGTCCGCGAAACGCAACTAGCATGAATGCGCCTCGAAGTTACACGGAAGGCAACCGCGGTCAAATTGGTGCGACAAGAATAACGCCTGCAGAACGACGTCTTAGATTCCAGTAGCAGATGTGTCTGGTGGTTTTTTTATGGAATCTTGGCATACTGCAGATGGTCAGATTTCTCCATTCCATTCGGAATTTGTGTTCAGTCTAAAGTACGGTACGGTACGGTAGAGAGGGGTCACAGTTTGGTGTGCACTCTTGAGCGTCGTTTGGTTGTTCCATCTTTGTGAGCTGCGAAATCGGTGACGGTGAGCGTGAGCATAAACTACCCCTCAGGGCGTGTGTCCTGCAAATTTTGTAGAGTTTGCTTTTTAAACTCGACTTTTAACACTTGAACTTGGTTCGAACTGCAGTCGAATTTAGAACTTCCCATGGTCTAGCCGCGAGTCACCTTTCAAGGCAAAACATGTCACATCGTAGGGTCGACTATTGAGGGTCGAGTTTTACAACCCAGCTCGCGTCGCCGCGCAAACGACTCGTAGGTTACCCGGTTTTCCATCTTGATAGTGCGCCATGTCTGATTCGATAGCGGGCCGTGAAACCTACATATGATTCGAAAGCGAGCGGGATGACATTTGCAAGTGTCGCCAGTTTCGCTGCAGCTGCAAACGTGTGCAGGACACACGTTTGCATAAACGTGCGGGCGCACGCTCGAATGGAAACTCGACTCTAGTTCAGTGTTCATGTTTGGTTCCTTCTTTCCTGCCTCTTTTGACGAAGCTCACAACCACGCTTGACGAGATTAACGAAACAAGTTACCACCTTAAGTTCGAACCAAATTTCGAGCTCAGCCCGCCAAGGACACAAGCCCTCAGTTTCGCGCGTACCTACCCAACTGCTGGTACTGTAGCTGATGCCACGAAGCATTCACGAAAAGCTTGCGACAGTTCACACATTACCGATTGCCATACGAAAGTTCGCACAACAAGTGCAATAGTACGCACAAGATGCCCTCCCTTCGCAGCTGTGTTCTTCAGCCGCAAGTGATAGATTATGGTTTGGTTGATCTGGTTCATCACTTGCACTAACACCCAGCGTTTCATTCTCGACTAGGTAGGTCGAATGCCTTCGGGTCTTCTATTACCTCCAGGGGTCATACAAGCCATGATTTCTCTGAATCAGGGAAGATTGTCCAATAGTCCAATTGAGCCACATAGCGTCGTCAAGTGACCATGCCATGCGTTCGTTGTCCCACGGAAACGCGCACTGGAGGGCTTCTCACTGCTCCTGCTCTGATCGCAGCCGTTCAACTTGAGCTCATCTGAATCCTCGCTGCCGAGCCCTCTATCCAAAGTCTTCTCGCACCGCCCCACTTTAACCCCCACACTCTTCGCGCGGGTCCCTACTTACTCCGCACCGCTCACATCCGTATCAATGGCGGCAGCGCGAGCCTCCTCCCCTCGTTCCTCCTCCAATATCCCCCCCGGCCCTTCCCCCGGCTGCCGCGGACCCGCCTCATGGATCTCCGCCAACCCCTCGCGCCCGCGCCGCGTGCATACAGGATCAACTTTCGGCAACAGCAGCAGCACTGGCAGCATTGATGCCGCGTTTGGCGGTTCCCCCACCAGAAGCGGCAGCGGGTTTCCGCAGCCGCGCTCCCCCTCCGCGGTCGGACTTGCGCGGAGCGTCACTTCCCCCAGCAGCGGGCGCGCGTTCTTTGCGCTTATCTTCGTAGCGGTTGCGCTTGTTATGGTGTATATGGCGGCTCTCCCCACCGTTAATAGCGGCGGTTGGGCCGCCGACGGCGCCGCAAGGTCCGCCGTGAGACCCGGCGGGGTTGACGGGGACGCGCTAGGCGAGATGGTTCGGCGGGAGGATCTAGAATGGGGGGCCGCGGAAGGAGCGGACGTTGGCGGGGGAGTAGGCGCAGGTAGCGGCGGAGAACCAGCCGCGGAAGGGCGCGCGGGAAGCAGCAGCAGGTGGGGGGTTTTCTCCTGGGGCGGAGGGGGGAAAAGCGCAGGCGCGGAGACAGGGACGGGGACGGGCGCCGAAGCCAGGAGCGCGGAGGCAGAATGGGCGGCGCAGCAGGCGGCGTTCAAGCAATCCGCGGAGAGGCTAGCCGCGGACAGCGCGTGGGACGGCGGCGAGTGGTCGAGCTCCGCGTCCGCGCGCGGAGCCTCCCAGTTCCGCTCCGCCGCCGCTGCGGGCGCCGCGCTAGACGCGTCCCTGCAACGCCCGCTCGCCCTCACCTTCTTCTCCGCCCCAAAACCCCAACCCGAAGAGCTAACCTCCGGAAGCCTACAGCAGCAAGCGGTCCTCTCCTGGCTTAGGCTAGAATCGCCGACGGTAACAGTTAACGTGGTGCTCTTCGGTGATCCGTCTGACGCGGTTCTGACGTCGTTTGCGGCGCAGTTCCCCGAGGGGCGCGTGTGGGTGGAGCAGGTGGATGGGAACTTCATGGGCACACCCATGTTCCAATCCATGGTGGCCCGCGGGTTAGTTGAAGGCCCGGGCTTGGGCCGCCGGTTTGATGATGGGCGCGGGGCGGGCGGGAGGGGGAGCGGGGGGCGCGCGGGAGGGGGAAGCGGCGCGGGAGGGGGGGCGGGGGATGGTGGGGTGATGAGCGTGTCTGTGCTGATTAACGCGGATATTATTCTGCTCAAGGATTTCCCTCTGGCGCTGCGCAAGGCGGCGGCGCGCTTCCCGTACTTCCTCCTCACTGCCATGCGCTGGGACGTCTCCTCCACCCCCTTCACCTTCCACAAACCCTCCTCCTCCGCTTCTGCTTCCTCCTCTGCTTCCTTCTCACAAACGGCAGACAGGGCGCAAGGGGAGGGCGGAGAGGAGGGCGCAGGGCCGGCGGGGGGGGAAGGAGGGGGGGAGGAGGAGGACGGGGGGGGCGCGGGGTGGGTGCCGAGGCTGACGCGGGCGGACGGGCGGAGGGTGAGTGATGCGGAGGTGGTGGCGTGGGCGAGGGAGGAGGGAGTGCTGCACACGTATGGCGGGCTGGACCTGTGGGCGTGGAACAACCCGCCCCTGCAGATTGGACTCACCACCAAGCCCATCCCACCGTTCACTTTTGGTCGCGGCAGGTGAGAGGGAGGGAAAGAGGCAGGGAGGGCGGGAGAAAGGGAGTAAGTCTCTGGAGAGGCTCACATATCCATTGCACAGGGATGTAAGGGACTGCTGCTTTGCATATGTATTTGGACCATATCCTTTTTGCATCATATCCTCCTCCCTGCTACGGCAGGTACGACAACTAGCTGTTGAGCGAGGCAGTGTGACTAGGCTGTCCACCTCTGTCCACCGCTGACCACCCCTGTGCACCCGTCTCTCCTCCTCCTGTGTGCATGCACAACAGGTACGACAACTGGCTGCCGAGCGAGGCGGTGTCATCGGGGGTGCGGCTGTAGTACACCCTTCTGTTGTTGGTGATAGACGCCAGTGACGCGCCCTGTCTGTACACCCTTCTCTCCCCCTTTTGCACTACCCTGAGCGTACAACAGGCACCACAAGTGGCTGCTGAGCGAGGTAGTGCGAGCAGACCGTCAAAACCTCTGTCCACTGCTATTGACCGCTCTCTCCTCCTGTGCACTCCTCTGTGCGTGTGCGGCAGGTATGACAACTGGCTGCTGAGCGAGGCAGTGTCATCCGGAGAGCGGCCGGTGATCGACGCCAGTGACGCTCTGTTTACTCCCCACCCCCCACACCAACCCCACTGGCCGTCCGCCCCCCCCCCTTCATCCTCCCTCTTTCCACCCCAGGTACGACAACTGGCTGTTGAGCGAGGCAGTGTCATCCGGAGTGCGGCCGGTGATCGACGCCAGTGACGCACTCACGTCTATCCACGTGAACCACTCTTACCACCACATGCAGCGCGGGGTGAGTGAGGGAGAGGGTGTGGGGCGAGGAGCACGGGGGGAGAAGGGGAAAGGAGTGAGCTGGGAGGGGGTTTAGGGTAGCAGACAGAAAGGGAAGGTTCCTCTATGAGTCATACATAGGGTCTGCACTGCATGTGTGCCCCATTCAACCTTCTCCCACCCACCACGCACAACCCTTGTCGGGGGTGCGGCCGGTGATAGACGCCAGTGATGCTCTCACGTCCATCCATGTCAACCACATGCAGCGCGGGGTGAGTGAGAGAGTGTGTGTGCGGCGAAGGCTTAGGGCGGTTGGTGGGGGCGATGGAGTGAGGGGTATGGTGTGGGTTGAGTCGTCTCAACTTTCTTGTGCTCACGTCTATCCACGTGAACCACTCTTAGGAGGGGTTATGAGTAATGGGGGGGAAGGCAGAGGGGTGACTGGGGAACAGGGAATGGGCATGTTGCGTAGCGATGGACCGGGGAGTGAGAGAGAGAGGGAAGGAGAGGGAGCCCTGAGGAAGTGAGCAAGGGAGTGAAAGAGAGAGGTATTTTGAGTACATGAATCTCACTTAAGACCAACCTCTCCCCCTCTCCTCCTCTCCTCTTTCCCGCCTTCCCACCTTTCCCGCCCTCTGTCCGTCCCTTCCCCCTACCCGTCCCAGGACCAGAACCTTCTCCAGGAGAAGCAAGGCAACGAGGTGACTTTTCAGCTGACTCAAAAGTCGCCTTCTCCCCTCCACCCCACTCTCCCCCCGCTCATCCCATGTATGTTTTTTGAGAATTCTCAAAAAACATACCCTCCACCCCACTCTCCCCCCCGCTCGTCCCCCGACCCATCCCAGGACCAGAACCTACTACCAGAAAAGGTGGGCAACTTCTGGTCTGTCAACAAGCGCAGCAGCTGGGAAGTCTTCGCCAACATCCACCTGTCCCACGTGCACGGCTCGTGGTCGTCGCAGGAGGGCATGGCGTGGCACGCGCCCTGGAAGCTCATGCGCTGCGATGAGCCTGCCTCCGCGCACCTCTGCCTGCTGCGCCGGGTCAAGCCGGGGTCGTGCCGGTGTGAGAGCTCCCCGTTTGTGCACAAAACACAGAGCGAGCCGAAGCTGCAGGGGAGGAATATCGTGTGCGGGGTGTATAACACGGAAGGGAAGCCGGATTTACCAGTGATGATGCCGCTGAATACGGCCGCGCCGGTGGTGGGTTTGCCGCATTTGTTGGAGCAGCTGCTGCCGCAGGTGAGCTGAAATTTGGGCTGATGGGAGGAAAAGTTTTGAGACGGGATATGTGGTGTGGTATGGTATTGCTGGGATGGGGTATCTGCCACTGGTGGTGCTGCTGGGGGTCGTGCCGCTGCGAGAGCTCCCCGTTTGTGCACAAAACGCAGAGCGAGCCGAAGCTGCAGGGGAGGAATATCGTGTGTGGGGTGTATAACACGGAAGGGAAGCCGGACCTGCCGGTGATGATGCCGCTGAATACGGCCGCGCCGGTCGTGGGGCTGCCTCACCTGCTGGAGCACCTGCTGCCGCAGGTGAGTGGAAGGGACGGCGGTGGTGCTGATGCGAAGAAGACTTTCGATGGGATGCTGAGTCAGGGTGTATGTGTGGTATTGTTTTTATTTGATAGGATGCTGAAAGGATCAGCTAGAACAGCTGCTGCTGCTGTATGTGAGTGGGTGGAAGTTCACCAATTTACCACCAGCCTCAAGTGAGTCAGTGAATCCAAGTTCGTCCAACCCATCTCCCTCCCATCATCAGGAAGCTGACTTGACTCCAGTCGAACGTGGCTGGCAGCATGGTTCTGAGGTGCCTCAATTCGTTATAATCCCTCTTCATCCCTTTCCACCCCTAGCCATCCGTCCCCATCCCTCCTCTCCCAACCTCCCTCCCATACAGGTAGCTGACTCCAGTGGCACGGTCACCATGCTGGCAGCCACCTTCGACTCAAAGGAGGTGGTTGCCGACTCCATGCTTCTGAGGCACCGCAATGTATACTAATCCCAATCCACCCCTCTCCACTCCTCTCCACCCATCTCCACCTCTCCAAATTCCCCCCTTCCCATACAGGTAGCTGACTCCAGTGGCACGGTCACCATGCTGGCAGCCACGTTCGACTCCAAGGAGGTCGTCGCCGATTTCGTGCTTCTGAGGCTCCTCAAGGCTCAATCTAAAATATTCCCAATCTGTCCCTCTCCACCCCTCTCCACCCCTCCCTACCTCTCCCTCATCAGGTCGCCGATTCAAGTGGCACGGTGACCATGCTGGCAGCCACATTTGACTCCAAGGAGGTCGTCGCTGATTTCGTCTGCCGCGCCGCTCGCCTCGCCACGCGCAACATCGTCGTCGCTGCTCTCGACGCCGCGGCCTACCGCTACCTCTTCCTTCAAGGCATTGCCGTGTATTACCAGAGCACGAATCTCGACGGGTACTTTTTGCCTCCGGAGCAGATGGATAGTGGGAAGGGCAGTGGTGGCGGAGGGAGTGGGGGAGGCATGTGGAAGGTGCTTCTGGGGAGGGTGGGCGCGGGGAAGGGGGCTGCGGTGGCGGCAGGGGCGGCGGGGGGAGGTGCGGGGGCGGCGCAGGGGGAGCGCGTGGTGGAGGGGACGAGGGATTGCTTCCATGGATCGCTTTGCTTCTCGCGGTTCCTGCTGGTGCGTGATAATTCAAAAGTCCTTGTTTTTTCAGTTTGTGTCTGTTTTTGTTTTTGTTTTTTTGTTTTTTTTCTTTCCTTCACCAAAAGACGGTTTTCAGGTGGTTCAAGTGTTTCAGTTCCCTTCACACCCCCTCCACCCTCCAACTTCCACCTTCCACCTTCTCTTCCCCCTTCTCCCCTTCGCACCCCACCTTCACCCATTGCCAAAACCATCCTTCACAGGCGAAGGTGACAGCAATAGCATCAGCACTGCACCTGGGATTCAACGTCCTGTGGCTGGACACAGTCTTTGTCGGCTGGCTTGCCAGTCCCTACCCTGCCCTTCACGCCCTCCCATTCTGAGTCGCCTTACATCTCAACATCTCGGCATTTCACACATCTCAGACCCCTTTCCCCCACCCCACACCCCCTACCCACCCCGGAATACCATCCTTCACAGGCGAAGGTGACGGCGATAGCATCAGCACTGCACCTGGGATTCAACGTCCTCTGGCTGGACACTGTCTTTGTCGGCTGGCTCGCCAGTCCCTACCCCTCCCTGCACGCCCTCCCAGCCAACCACAGCCTACTCTTCAACCCCCCTCTCGCTCCTCTCGCTCCACTGCCCTCTTCCTCCTCCTCCTCTTCGTCCCTCCCCCGCCGCCGCTTGCTAACGGACGGTACCCCCGGCACAACCTCAGCTGGAGCAGCAGCAGCAGCTTCGGCGACTTTTGAGTCGACTCAAAAGTCTTCCACCTCCTCCTCCCCTTCATCCCTCCCCCGCCGCCGCTTGCTAACGGACGGTACCCCCGGCACAGCCGCAGCAGCAGGAGCAGCAGCAGCATCGGCGTCTGCCAGACCAGGCAAGGCCCGGGCAGCGCTAGGCTCGGCAGACTGGCACGGGCGACCCGGCGGGATCGTGTTCGCCCGCGCTCTCCCTCGTGTGCTAGAGCTGTTTGAAGATATGGTGGCTCTCCTCTCCCCCCCACCCTCCTCCTCCTCGTCCTCCTCCTCCTCTGCACCTCCCACCTCTCCCGCGTCTCACTCCTTTGCTGAGTTGCTCTGTGGGCCTGCTGCTGATTCATGGGCTCCCAACGATGCTGCAGCTGCGGCTGGTGGTGGTTCTTTGTCCTCCTCCTCCTCTTCCCCCTCTTTTGTGTGCAAGCGCAATGCCGCAGCACAGCCAATATCTGTTGGTTTTTTCGACCCCTCAGGATTCTTGCACCCATCTCCTGCCTGCACCCCTCCTCCTCCTGCTGCTGCTGATGCCGCTGCTGGTGGTGACACAGAAGCCTCTGGAGCAGCAGGAGCAGCAGCAGCAGCAGCCGGTGGGATGCCTGATAACATTCCCCAAGGCACATGGATAGTTCCTCTAGTGTGTCCGGAGCAACAGGCACAAGATCAACAGCAGCAAAGAATAGGGGACGCAGGGGGGGGTGCAGTGACGATGGCAGCGATTAAAGCGCGTATAGACGCCCTTAGGTTGACCTCGTACGACCCGCGGTCACGCGTGTGTGCGCGGGCTTGGACGGGGTCCTTCTTGCAAGCCATGGCCACCGGGAAGAACCTAGAGAAGAAGAAAAAGGCCAAGATGAGGAGTCGAGAAGGAGAGGCCGGGAGTGAGCAGCAAAGAGGTGGATGATGAGATTGGAGGAGGGTAGTGGTGGCTTTTATGGGATGTGGTATTGAGGCATGCGGATGCGCTTCTTTTTTCAACGTTGACGTATTTCTTACATGTACTGCACGATCTGTGTATGGATAATATTGCATGAGCTTACGTTATATTGTATGAATATGTGATATCCATTGACATCCAATAACTAAGAGTTATTCTTTCTTTCATTTCTTTTATTTTGTAAAGAGTACACTGCACCCTAAACCCCAAACCCGCTTTTGGATATGCCCTCTTTTTGCATGATACACTTGCTACAACTCCGAGCGGGTGTATCCAAAAGCGAGTCGATCACGTGCTGTCATCCCTCGGCTCGGCAAGCAGTGCTGACTTGCACGCGCGCATCTTTCCTTCCCCACACCAGACCTCTTCAAATCTTCCCCCACCCAGAAATATGCTGCTGCGCGCAGTCCTTTCCGCCACCGCCATTCTCCCCGCGTGTACGCGCTCCGCAGCGCCATCGCAGCCTCGACCCCTTCCGCGTCCTTCTCTTTCGTTTCCGCTCCCGCGCTCAGACCGCGTTCCACTCTCCCGCCATTGATTTCTTCCGCTCTTGCGACCGAAGCTTGTTCCGCTCTCCCATCGCGGACCGCAACCGCGGGGGGCTGTTCCGCTCTCCCGTTGTGGACCGCAACAGCAGGGGTTCGGGCTATGGCGAGCAAAGCCAAGAAGAAGAAGCAACCAGCAGGGGGCGACGGTGGGGGAGGGAACGCTGCGGCGAAGGGAGGAAGTGGCGGAGGGGACGCGGAGCTTCCGGGATTTCTGCGCGTGACGGCGAGCGGTGCTGTGTCTGTGGCGATTCACGCCAAACCAGGGTCGAAACAGGCTGCTGTGATGAGTGAGAGGGGGGAGTGAGGGCGGGGAGCGGGGGGTGGATGTGTGGGGGGTGAGAGCGGGGAGCCAACGGGGAAGCGGGCAGGGCAAGGGAGAGGAGGTGGTAGGAGGAGGTTGGGAGTGGTGAAACATGAGGGGTGGATGTGACAAGGCAATAATTGTCCACCTGCTGCTGTGCATGAGTCATGCAGCATGACTCTGTGTGCATTGCACTGTGCATTGCTGTGTGTGTGCATGTGTGTGCATGTGTGTGCATGTGTGTGCATGTGTGTGCATGTGTGTGCATGTGTGTGCATGTGTGTGAGCAGGTCTGACTGGAGACGCAGTGGGTGTGGCCATTGATGCTCCTGCAAGGGAAGGCGAGGCGAATGCGGCTCTTCTAGAGTTCATGGCTGATGTGAGCGCATTGGGGCATATGGGGCTGCATTGGGCCGTATGGTGCTGCATTGGGACGTGTGGTGCTGCATGGGGGCCTACATTTGAGTCGACTCAAAAATAGAGAAGGGAGGCAAATGCAGCTCTACTAGAGTTCATGGCTGATGTGAGCGCTTGGGGGCATATGGGGCCGCATGGGGGCATATGGGGCCGCATGGGGGCATATGGGGCCGCATGGGGGCATATGGGGCCGCATGGGGGCATATGGGGTAGCATGGGTGCATATGGGGTAGCATGGGAGCATATGGGGTAGCATAGGGCCACATGAGGGGAGGGAATGGAGATTGTAGTGTGGAAATTAAGAAATTCCGCCAGCAACATGATGCAGGTCTTGTGATTCCATACCCTCTTACTTGTTAGCCATTTCCCATTCCCCCGTAGGTGCTGGGAGTACGCAAGAGGCAAGTAAGTCTGCAAATAGGTTCAAAGTCTCGAGGGAAGGTAGTGGTTGTGGAGGGTGTATCTTCTCAGGAGGTGCTATCTGCCCTCCAAAGAGCAGTGAAACCCAGTGCGTGATAAACTCAGTGCTGGATGGCGAACCATCTTGATACAGAGAGGTATACAGTTGTATGAATATATAATGTACTGGGAGTTTTGTATGTGGGGATGTTCCCACTGGCTGATGCACATTGATGCTGTGCATTCTTGGCAAAGTCTCATACAATTGCAGACCTTGGCCTTGTGTTCCAATCCAATCCAATCCAATGCACATTACAAAACTCCTGGCATATAGACAGGTTGAAATTTCTCTCAAGGCTCCTCAAAACTTGCACCCCCACCTATAAAAAGGTTGCCTCAGATGCCTACGTAGGAACACTGCTTTGATATTCTGATTTCCTTCTGTGTTTACAGCTCTCGTTTTTTAGGGAGATGTCAGGTTGTACATTTCTCGTGGGTGTTCAATTCTTGTATCGTGGCTCAAAACGGTTCCACATGGTGGAAAGCTGCTCTCATGGGTACCCGTGTTGCACCCAGGGCCCAAAATTCAAGGGTATTTTACCCTTTCTACCCTTGCTATGGGCCGCTTTTTCAGGATTGCCCTGATTCAGTAAGTGTATTTAACAATTGACCCTGACTGTGAAAATGTACTTTTTGAAATACCCTGTCAAAATCAAGAGACCTCTAGTTTTCCCCTGTTTCGTCAGGGTACTTTTTGAAATGCACTGAAACAGACTTTCTTCGTGTCGTTTCGGTACAACAGGGCCCAGCTGGCCACTAGCCCGAGATGGTTACAAAACCGGCCCCACCAGTAGATGTTGCGCTGTCACCTCAACAAAACAGACCACACCACAAAACTTGTGATTCGCTGCCTCGACAGCATTTACATCCAGCACGGCAATTCAGCCCACACCACCATTCCACGGACTGTCCTTGCAGACTGTGGGTGGTGGGGCTTGCGCAGCGCAACACCTTCTGGTTGCGCTTTGAGAAAGGACCGACCCTTCGATCCAGAGCCTTCCCTTTCATAAACACCTTCTCTTCCACACCGTCTTCCATCCGCCACTCAGTTCCATTAGCACCACCTTACCATGCCAGACGAGGAATCAGGAGAAGCACCTGCTTCTCCTCGCAATGGACTTTCTGTGCTCGGGGTTTTCCCCCGCCTGGGCAGAGCCTATGCCACTCCTGTCAACGATCCTCCTCGCCCCGAATCACCAGTCCGTTCTGTCGGCATGGTGTATGCTTGGGGGGCACCGAGCTCGCCGACCGAGCCACATCCGTCCGTGACTCTGGTGCCTGGTGGTGACGAGGGCCCTTCAAACCGCGGCGAGAGCACTCCGTCAACGGTCAATAGCGCTCCTGCCAAGCGTCCTCGCACCGGTGGTGTGAAATACACCCAGCAGCTTCTGTGGGGTGCAAAGCCCCCACGCAAACCACCAAGTCCTCCTCGTGCAGCACCGCTTGTGGATTCTGATGAGGAGTTACAAAAGTCGGATGCTGACGCTGAGTATGCTATAATGAAACATCGTTTTGATTCTGACTGGGCCTCCCGTTTTCCGTGGCTTCGTTTGCATCGCACGAAAGCAGGCCGCCCCTCCCTGAAGTGCAACATCTGCATGCTGCATGGCGATCCCGCTGCCAACACGACATACGGCGTCAAGGGCGAGGGTGGCCGCGATCTTCAGCTTGGCAGCATGCGCGCCCATGTTGCGACTCGGGCGCACAAGGCCGCCCTGAAGGTGGAAGCTGAGGCTGAGGCGCGTCGTGAGCGTCAACAGACTCTGACGCGTTGGCAAGCCACGGACGCTTCAACACGTCACATAATCCGCTGTCTGCACATCACCATGTTCATCTGTAAGGCGGATGCTCCAATCGCCCTCTTTGTTCCTCTCTGCTGGTTCCTGGCCAGAGAGGGACTTCCAGATCTACCGCCCACAGGAGGCTACGGCTCGTACTACACGGAGTAAGTAAATGCACTTCTGTTTTTTGGCTAGCATGTGGTATTCACTGTACAAGCGGCACCTACTAAAACTTCCTCATGTGTCTGTCGTCTTTGCAGCTACGGTTTCAAAGAGAAGATCAGATCGATGTCGACTTACCTCCAAGACCTGCAGCTGCAGCACCTCCTGGCCTCACCGTGGTTCGGCATTGGCATCGACGAGAGTACGGATCGCATCCACGGGAAGCACCTGATCATCTACGCCACGTTTTTCAAGGGAACGGTGGTCGCGACCGAGTTCTTAAGTCTTCTCACGGTCGAGCGGACTAACGCGGCTTCGCTCACATCGGTCGTTGTTCAGTTCCTGCAGCATATTGGTGTGGACCTGCAGAAGATGGTCGGCATCGCCACGGATGGCGCGAGCGTGATGGTCGGGGTTCACAATGGCGTGGTCGCGCGTCTTCGCGCCCAGATTCCTCATCTCGTTTCCACACATTGCATAGCGCATCGGTTCGTTTATATGATGTGCTGTTTTTTTTGCCTTACCCCTCTGCTATGTGGTGTTTATGTTTCAATCCATGTTTGAGCCTAATGCGGGGGCAACATGTTCCCATCTTCCCTGATCCCCTGTCGTGCAGTGAAGCTCTGGCCGCGAAAGATGCTGCGACTGCTGTGAAGGATCTCAACATCGTCGACGACGTCGTGCGCGGTTTAGGGTTTCATGAATCTCCAGCTCATCTTCTGTCAAACCAACCTTGAGGTCCAGGGCATCAATACAGTTCGGTGGTTATCTCGCGGGGAAGCCGTGTCTCGTCTGCTGGAAGTTCTCCCGGCTGCCATTGTTTTGATGAAAGACCAGGCGCCGAAGATGTACGAAGTGGCGACGTCATTCAAGTTTCATTGGCTTCTGCGGCTTCTGGCGGACGTTCTGTTCGAGCTAAATCAGCTCAACCTTCGGTTCCAGGAACGCCAGGTTGGTACGCTTTATGTTTATGTATCACAATCAGCTCAATGCTTGCTTTCCATGTGACATTTCGATTTAAAAACAGGCACACACTGATTCCTGCTTGCACGTGCGTCGCAGGTGGACGTGACTCTGGTGGCGCACCTTGCCGAGCAGACGCGGATGCGCCTGACCCAACGCTACCTCCGTGTCCCCGAGGGACACACATTCGGTCACGGCGACAAGATGCATCTGCCTGCCTTCATCCGTGCACATGGGAAGTCGGACCCAGACAAGCGGAAGATGAAGGTGGAAGGGGTCGATAGAGATGGGACCCCATCCTCTCACGAGTTCGTGCTCCATGAGCGACCTCTGGTCGAAGAAGACCCAGACGGTGAAGAAACGGACGGTGACGCGACGGGTGGTGACGCGACAGCATGCTACGAGCTGTCGGTGAAGTTTGTGCGGGAGGTTGTCAAGCAGCTTGAAAAGCGCCTGAGAGATCTGTCTCACCTCGATGGCTCGAAGCTCTTCTTGTCGTCGAAGTACCTTTACGACGATGACAAGCGTGTCGCGGCTTTCAAGCGCTGGCTGAAGCAGCTCCATGTGCTCTTCCGCGAGACCCTGCCCGATATGTGCCCCGTTGGTTCTGTGAAAATTCATTCTGCCCTGTTGTAATAGTCTGCACAAGGCCTGCATCCCACGACTTATGCTCCTAATGACCAACACCACCCCCCCCCCTCCCCCCTCCCTAAGCTAATCTGCTGCTTGCTACTCCATTGAGAATCACTTCCCCTATTCCTCAGGCTTCAACTACACGAAGGCTGTCGCTGAGCTCTGGATGTTTACATCGACTATGCATTCTCAGCACCATGACGAGGATTTCCATCAGGCGCTCAGCAACACCCTGCGCGACGACCAGTGGCAGCGCTCCTACCCCAACATCATGCTCCCGAGGCAAGCAGTCGCTGCGCTGCCTCTGAGCACGGTGGAGTGCGAGAGGGGGTTCAGCAAGCAGAACATCATCAAGACGTGGGGCCGGGGGAGCATCTCAGACACATCACTGGGACACCTCATGCGCTGCTCTCTCCTTGAGTACACCATGGACTGGTTCGAGGTCGCACGCATCTTCCGTGGCGACAGAAACAGGCGGCCAATCCGAGACTTCACTGGCAGCAACCCAAGTGATACTCAGTTTAACCCTGCAGCAGTCCCTGACACAACTGCAAGTGCAGAGCACCAGGAGGGACCCGAGAATGAGTGATGCAATCTTTTGTTAGTGGTGGGTTATGTAAGGTTGCATGTAGAGGAAGCAGTAGTGTCAATTTGTTTTTCTCTAGCAAACAGGGTGGTTCCATAAATACCCTTACAAAGACAGGATACTAGCAAAAACACACTGACTAGCACCGGGCAAAAAAAAAAACCACCCTGACTGTCAGGCAAAGGGCTCCGGGAGACCCTGATATGGCAGAGTGCCCCAAAACCAATTTTGGGCCCTGGTTGCACCATGACGAAACGAAGTTGAGCGTCGGGAGGCTGTACAACCTGACATCGCCCACTCATACGTAACATTGACAGTTTCGGCTGGGACTGAACACGCGCCAAAACAAGGGAAAATATGTAACAAGTAATCAATATGGGACTCGATAACACGAATGGAAAAAAAAATAACGCGTACGGTCACTGTATCGGGTTTGCTGACGGGTTTGGTAAGTGGGGTCACGGATTCAGTCACTAACAACAGGTAAAAAATCACGCGAATGGTCACACATGTAACTCCCACCAAAAAATCTTGAAACTCTACAAATTTCCCGCTCGCGCCCAACCAATCTGCTAAGTTCTAACAAAACTAAAACCCAATCGGAATCGGATGCGGTTTGGGAACGGATCAACCCTAAACACCTGGCGATTTACGTGTTTAGGGTTGATTCGTCCGAAAATGAATCCAGGTTCCATTTGGGTTATATTTTTTGGCGGGAGTTTCATCTGTGACCATTCGCGTGATTTCTTACCAGTTACTAGTTACTAATTCCGTGAAACGTTATATCAGTCGCGTGAAAACACCGTTTGCAGTGACCTTACCCGTTATTTCTTACCAAAAATGTTTTCGAGTCCCATTTTCGTTACGAATGGCATATTTTCCCCCAAAACAACCCAGGCATCGCTTACCAAACGCGAAGAGAACGAGAGCGA